CATCGTTGGCTCTGCGTTCCGATATTAAACACACTCAGTCTGGCTCTTTCTGAGTTCCTTCCTCACTAAACCAGGACATGACTGCTCCCCACGTGGCACAGAGGAAACCTAAACAGATCTTGATGTCAGTTTATCTTGGAAGTGTTAAAACAGGCACGGATGAGAGACCCATGTCAAGTTGAAACAGGACTGAACACTGCCCAGTCCAGCACCGTCGTCCAGGTGGGCTGATGCCCACCAGCAGATGACCTTTTTTTCCCAACCCATCTTAGGCGGGAAGCTCTGTTGAGCCCAGCATCATAGCAGCACAGCCCCCTCCACCGCCCCCCGCCGCAGTGGAACCTGGGTCTCCTTGCAGAAGGCGAGCTTCATCCTTATCCGCTCTCTCATACTCTGTGTGGCCGCCTCGTCAAGCATCTGGCTGATCGTCCGTCTCCAACCAACAACCTCTCTTGCCCCATGGTTTTCAGTAGCTTGCTCATAGTGCCTGTGTGCCATCGTTCCTGTGTGCCTACTCCCTTTAACTGTCCCCACAGCAGACAAAATAAAAGTTCCACCACATCCTCCAGGGCTGTCTGTATATAATACAAGGGTGTTTCACAAAGAGTTTGTGGGAAAATGCCGTAATCTTTTCATTCCATTTTCCACACACTTTTTTGAAGTGCCCCCCCCGACCATAAGCTGTTCACACAACAACCAAATCACATCACATTCTATTTCACAGAACATATCGTAGACACCGAGTGGTGCGTGCCTAAATTTTAGTTTGTGTTAGCCACATTGTTGTGAAGTGCCATCGAGTCAATTCTGACTCATAACGACGCTATATAAGGTTTCCAAGGAGTGGCTGGTGGGTTTGAACCACCAACCTTGTGGTTAGCAGTCCAGTGCTTATCCTACAATGCCACACCAGGACTCCATGTTAGCAAGAGAGTCAGATAAAACTAAGGAGAAATCCTTAGACTTCTGCAAGCCTACGTAACCCCAGCTCTTTCTCAACATGATGAAGCCGGCCAATGTGTGTGCAAGGCTAAGGGAAACCAGTGTGGTGAAGGGCTGAGGCAGGCCGGCTCTCTCAGGAGGGAGCTCCATCCGCATTCATGCTAGATCACGGAGAACCACATCAGCTGGGTTTTTCAGCAGCTTTTCTCCATACTGGGCAACAAATTTATCCACAGAGAGAGAGAGATGGAATGAAGGCAAATGCTTGGCATCAGTGGTGTTTAGTTTTAGAAGGAAGACCGATGGACGCGGAAACTCGTTTTCTTGTCAGCAAGAAAAGCTGGCCTCCTTTCTCTATATTGCTTGTTTACTGGACTTGACTGGACAGGGTCTGACCTGTTTCAGTGGGTCAGCTGTCCTTGGATGAGTGAGGTGTGCCATGGTCCTCTCTCTTTCATGCTCTGTGTCTGTTTCAGATCATCGACAAGAGGAAGAGGGACCCATCGGAAGAGATCGAGATTCTCCTGAGATATGGCCAGCACCCAAACATCATCACCCTCAAAGACGTAAGTGGCCGGCCAACACAGATCAGCTTCCACAAGTTGGGTGCCAGCTCCCTGTCTGCTCCCCCAATGCTTGCTGCGAGTGCTGTCCTTCATGCACCCTTTGTCTCACACATAGCGGTCAGCCTGACCTATGGACCACTGGTTGCCATCACTGAGAGAACCCCCAGCACCTCCCAAACCACATGCAGGAAAGTGAGGCTTGGCTCAACAGTGACATCTGCTGCCCTAATTGATACAGAGCAAGGGGCAGTGAACAGTCAGAGAGATGGGCTCAGACTGTGGGATTCCTCTCTCACTCCTGGTTTCCTCTGAGTGGGTAGTTAGTGTTTGTTTTCAGGAGGGGCATTGTTAGAACACAGCCATTTGTGAACCAGACAAGTGAGTGGCGTGCGTCAGGTCTGGGAGGGGAAAGAGAGTGTTTCATCCCCCACACTGTCTGCATAAAGACACAAACACACACATGTATAGAGGAGCCCTCATTGCACAACATTTGTTCAGTTGCTGACCACAAGGTTGACAGTTCAGACTTACCCAGCAGCCCCATGAGGAAAAGATTTGACAATCTGCTCCCAGAGAGAACAGTCTAGAAAGTTCTATGGGGCCATTCTCCTCTGTTCTGTGGAGTCTTGTAGTCAGAGTCTACTCAACAGCACACAGCACCAAGCATGTACACGCATATACACGCTGTTGTTAGGTACTGTGGAGTCAGCTCTGAACATACATCTACACATGTATACACACCGCTGTTGTTAGGTGCCATGGAGTCAGCTCTGCACATGCATCTACATGTGTATACACACCACTGTTGTTAGGTGCCATGGAGTCAGCTCTGCACATGCATCTACACGTGTATACACACTGCTGTTGTTA